GTGAGGGCCTCACCTTCCTGTGTAGGAATAATAATTGTTACGGGAACTCTGAAACCTTGTTTTTTCAGATATGCTGTAATGTACTAATGACTGGACTCAACTATAAATAATAAATGAACCAGCTTCATTTAGTTTTGTGATTAGTTAGTGCTTTCACACTGATGCTACCTAATCTGTTTTAATTTTTTATCACCACTTTGTTGTCTCAGTGTGATTACTCCTGGCCAGATCAAAAGCTGTAAATCGTAGACACAGCTGAGGAAACGAAAGCTGAGATTATTGCATGCCAGATCTATGTTTCTGGCATGCATGTTTCTGAAGACTTTGTTTCTTCAGCTGTGCCTAAGCTGTAAAACTTTTCATAGTGTCAGCATACTGAAATAACCCTGCTCCGTCATGGTTTCAGATAAGCACTTCGAAGAGGCGCTCATCTCATCATGAGGAAGATTGTGGCTATGCGCGTCTGCACAGCTTAAAAAGTGTTCGCAAGTATAATTTGCTTGGTTGATAAAGTATTAATCTCTTTTCTCTTGTGTCTCGCCAACATGCAAACTTGCATCCACTGATGTTACCTATACCGTTTTTGTTTTTTACCAGCACTTTGTTGTCTGAGTGCGATTATTCCTAGCCAGATCAAAAGCTTTAAATTGTAGACACAGCTGAGGAAACAAAGGCTGAGAGTAATGTATGCCAGATCCACCAATCTGGCTTGAATTAATTTCAGTTTTTGTTTCTTCACCTGTGCCTAATCTTTAAAACTTTTCATAGTGTCAGCATCTGAAATAACCCTGCCCTTCTGTGGTTTCCGGTATGCACTTTGAAGGGGCGCTCATCTCATCGTGAAGAAGATTGTGTCTATGCTCGGGTGCACAGTTTTTAAAGTGTTCACAAGTTGCATTTTCTTGATTGATAAAGTGTTAATTTCTTTTCTCTTGTGTCTCGCCAACATGCAAACTTGCTGGGGGTCTTCTGTCACCTGGGAATGTGAGCGGTTGCAACTTCGAGTCAGGGGATTTTTTCAGATGGGGTGCTATCACTCTGTTGCGTGCAAACTATGTTTCTCCAACTGATTGTGCTTTTGGTTGAAAGAAATGTTAACATTTGAAAGGAGAAAGTTAGTATGTATCATGGTATCAATTGTAACAATTAGTGGTACACCTTGATGTCGCATATAATGCCGTTGTACCAAACAACAAAAGTTTAGGGCAAGATGGTTGTTTCAAGTAGTGGCTAATCGTCTCACAGGACATTTAGGTGGAATCACCATTGCCACGAGGGGATACAAACAGAAGTCCCTTGTTCACAGTGATGGCTTTAGCTTCGCAATGGCTTCTTGTCAGGCTATAGCTCAGTTGCTTTCCTGTCAGAAAGACATTGCAGATATAGACCTTTTTGCCATTGAATGAGCACGGCGACACATTTTTGCTAACAGGGGCCGCGGTGACTCCCTTAAGACTAGAATGTAACGTCGCACTCTGGAAGCTTGGTGACGCATGAATAACGTGATGTCATGTGGTTGTGGTGTTGACACGATTGTATTACAACACTAAGCTACGTTATTGTCACCACCATGTGACATAATGACCAGGCCGTATATGTGCGAGTTAAGGTTTACGTTAATCTGTTGAAAGCTTCGCTGATCGAACACCAGCAATGCTAAGTACATCTGACAAAACTTCAAGAACCCCGCTTCTTGCGTAGCCTGTGCCTCCTTTACTGCGTTGTATGAAACAAAACATTGTAGCACGTGGACTTCATCACCCTCCAGATCATTGACGGATGTGTTTCACATGATTGTGTCAGTTTGGCGACCTTGAGCTGCTTGTGAATGCACTGATGTATGTTGTCTTTACAAACATTGTTCCGTTTATTTTTTGTCTTAGTATGTGTGACACCCTTTTCTCTAAAGCAGCACTTTCATTACCCTCGCAATATTTACTTGCATCTAATCGTGTCTGAATGGATGCTGGGATATAGATACTTGAACTAAACAAAGTAAATAAACAAAGTTGCCTTGGAACACTCCATGGAATGATCTTGGAGAACGCTCTGGTCTAGTATTCGTCACCAACATACTTCATTTCACAACTTTTATACTAATTAGAGAAGAATCATTTGCAAAAAAAACGCTTGCTGCAGGCCTTACCTATTTGACAAATGTGCCTATTTTAGAAAGCAGCAATTTGAAGGTGGAAGAAGCTTTTAGGAGCCAGCATGGTAATGATGGGTAGTGCACAGATTTTTCTAAGCTTCATTTTCTTTTTTTTTTGTTGGCTCCGTTTGGCCAGCCGTCACTTAAGTAGCAAGATAAAGTCTAGTGAATTTTCAGCAGTCTTACTAATGAGCAACTTGACTCAGCTCACGAGGTTCGTGGTGTGCCATTTATTCAATCCAGTTTTGAAAGCTCTAACATACAGTAAATAAACCCACAAGTTCATCAAAGCTGCCGGTGTGAAGGCGAGGCAAATCCATGCACCATCCATTGTTCCCATGGTGGCTGAACAACTGCAATGCCCCAGATTTTTGTAGTAAATACTATTCTAAACTTTATGGTAACGATCAAGGCGTTGTGTTATCCGGCTTTGTGTTATGAAGGCGTTCTGTTATAAACCACGGGGTTTCCAATAATAATGGAGTGGCGCTGTGTCTGGCGGAGATACTGTAGCACGCGATTCTCCTGCTAGGCAAGCATCGTTCTATACCTCTCGAGCTCTTTGCCTTTGGTTGCTTATCTCTGAAAGCATTCTTGGGGTGCAGCAATTTTTTTGTTTGTTTTTATGACAACAGTATCGTGCACCCGCATTTTGTTGTAGTGGCTGCTTTGAGTGAACTGTGAGTGAGTGTCAACTTTTTATTGTGGTTAGAATAGCACTATGACTATTTATAACAACCTTAGAGTGAAAGTCTCGGTAGCTTCAGAGCTGTTCTTTGAAAGCACGACCTTTGTTTGCTTAACCAGCTCTTCGCTCCTTTCTTGAAATTTGTGACAGAAATTTCTGAACGACCATACTAATCCACAAATCTACAGCTACAAAGCTTGCTGAACCAGCTTCAAGCTATATTAGATAAGTTATCTAACTGTTTAGTGGTCTGTGGTTAATTTATGCGTAAGTGGCAAAAATTGTTCCACATTTTTGTTCACTCACGAAGCTCGCGGACGTCCAGAACGAGGTATCTCGTGAAGCGACATTTTTCCCTTTTTAGAAGAGAGAAAATCACTCGAACCATTATGCTTTACCTGTCACGTCATCCGTTTCTTTAATATCACATTTTCAGGATAGTTGCTCAGTAATGTTGCTTGAGCTCTGAACAAAATCTCTCAGCCACCCTCCACTCACTTTTGTCAGCCTTGACAAAAAAAGAAACGCCGAGTAGACGGAGTTGCTTTAACGGAAAAAAAGTTCTGTACCACGAGAAAAGCTACCTGGGTGGATTCACTGGGTGGAATGAACTTGAGGGGTGCAGCAAGATGTTCGCCTACCGGGAGAGTAATGTGCTAGGGTGGCATCAAGCAATAGTGCCAGTCTGGTTACTTCTGCGTACCCCTCTTATATAGCCTCTACTGAAGCTTGGACAGCGTATGTGAGGTCCTTTGCATAACTGAGCAAGGCCGACCGATGCAAGGAGGTTGCGTAAATGGTTTTTGATCGTTCTTGTCATTTATTTTGTGGTCAGCTTTTTGATTGGACGTTTATTAATGGTTTGCTGTGCTTCCTGTATGTGAAACTTGACAATGCTTACACCAGTGTATGCTGCACGCAGTGGTGTTGGAGTCGTGCTTCATTTGCTTCTATAAGGTATCCTTCTTTGTAGATTTGCAACAAAAACGTTGCAATGCTACACTTTATGACATGGTTTCAATACTTTGCATTGCCTCCACTTGATGAAGGCAATAAGCATGAACACCTGTGTACCTAAATCTGTGTGCACTGTTTGATTAAGAGCTCTCTGCTACAGTCTATTTTGTAATCCTTCTGTGGTAAGGTGAAAGCTCGAAATTAAAAAAAAATTAGAATGCCTTCTATTTCTCTCTCTCTATTCTTCATTCAAAGACTAGCCCGCATTGCACGAAGGCGTTACAGGAGGAGGTTATAGAAATGACATGAACTTTTCATTTTTACAGCAGACTTGAATTTCAAACAACTCATTCCAATTTTAATCGTTCTAACAGAAATGATTCTACAAATTGGTTCATCCTGATACATGGTCAGGTCTAGATTAATGGTAATGAAGTTCTTTAAGGTACCCTTCTTTTTCAATTCCAGTTCTGTTGTTATAAATCTGAAAAAAGAACTTCAGTCGCAATTTTTGCAGATGCGAAAAAACCACTTTCAACCCAAGTTCATTTTTTATTTAAGTGCACATCTTCCTTCTCTTGTACCTTCCCAGGAAGAACCTGGCTGCATGATTTTTAATTTTCAATTTCATCAAACAATCTGACCTGCAAATCATCCCATACAGCACAAGCATAGTCTAGTGTATGTTGACTAAAAAGAGAAATGCTGACCACAAGATAGTAAGAGTGTACGAAGACGCTTCAACACCCAGAACAGAAGCCTTTTTCGCAATCTTAGATTGCGAACAAGGCTCTTGTTCTGGGTGCTGAAACGTCTTAGTACATTATTATTCTCTTCTGGTTCGTCACCTTCGTTGTCTTACTCAATGATTCTTCCCGACCAGGTGAGTGTCCGTCGAAGCCTTGATTTGATCTGGTAGAAGTTGCACACATGTTAATTAGGCTGTCTTTTTTATGTTGACTTATGTCACATCATGCAATTATCTCTCTTCTTTTTTCCAGGAATGAAACTTTTAGACGTGTGCTAAGCTGCACAACACTTCTGTAGCACCAGGTACTGAATCTGGTGAGCAAACAATGAAATATGACAATGTGATGACTCTGATGAATTATGAGTTTGCCATATTCAAAAGGCTTGGCATACTGCTCCATTTGTCTCTGATTAGCAGCCTCCTTCTGTTTCTTTTTTTCAAATCATTAAGCAATGAGCGTCGAGTCATCTAAGAAAGACAAGCCAGGTTTTCGTGGCATAAACGTTCGCTCTCGGCACCTCTACCTTACTTCGGCCGAGCTGGAGGAACGGGACATGCAGTCTTCTGTGCCGGTTGTCCGCTCTGGCGATTCCAGGCTTTCGGAGACAGGTAGGTAAGTGTGTCAACAGAAGGCATGCAGGCTGTTGTTTCACTTCTGAGTGAAGATACTAGACCCTGAGAAGGCAGTGTGAGTTGTGGGGTATATTTGGCGTCTTAACTTGAAGGAAAATAGTTAGATTAAAGAAAGGTAAACCGCAGTAGCATTGTATCACTCATAAGCGGAAAGTATTGTCAATACTATGACTGTGTTCATAGTGCACACAAGTACATATTGTTCATAGTGCACACAAGTACCCAAAACACAAGTCAAGCAACACTGAAAACACAAAGGCAGGTTTGCAAATTCGTTTTAATGACTTTGCAAAGCAAAAATAAAAGTAATTTCTGCTTACCACTGCTTCAAAGTTTGATATGCTGCCACCAAAACTGATGTCACACATATTTGTTTCGAAATTCTTCCATGCCTCTATGATTCTTTTTTGTTAACACAAGGCTGAAGCAATGTATGCAACAGCAACAAATCAGAATGTTACACAAAGTAAGGCTAACAGCTTCAAACTCATGCAACTTTATTAAACACTAGTGTAAGAGAATACAGCTGTTTCGACGAGTAAAGCAGTTTTCATGTTGTCTGTCATCCCAATGCAAATTAGTGAAAGTGCAACTCACGAAAAGGTATACGAACTGTCTTTTGAGATAGTGGGCGTGCCAGGGCTGTTTTGCCAGTGCCAGCACAATGGCTTGAGGAGCCATCGACAGCAGGCCTCGAACGTAGGTGGTGTTATCTCACGTCCCTTTCAGGCATCCCTACTTCTCGTGAGCACGTTACTTTTGCATAGAACATGCATTGTACACAGCAGTGCTATTGACCTGCACTTCACACAGGACTTGATTAAGACCAAAAAACCCGCTGAGACAGTCCATATAATTGGCGATAAATTTCACCAATGCATTATTTATTTTTTCTTTATTCAATGATTACCCCGCTTAGTCTGAAGGCGCTGCAGCAGGGTGGTTACAATGTCAAGAAAAACACATCTTTATTAAAACAGAGCACTTTCTTGTGCGTTCAAGCGTTTCAGGCTCCTAAAGCATTCCTTTTATGATTTGCAACCATCAAAGGCACTTTTGGGTCTTCTTCAATTGTCTATGCAATGCCCCATTGCGGTGGTCTATTGGTTAAGGTACTCAGCTGCTTACCTGCAGCTCGTGGGATCGAATGCCGGCTGTGGTGGCTGCATTTTGAATGGAGGCGAAAATGCTGTAGGCCCATGTGCTCAGATTTGGGTGCACGTTAAAGAACCCCAGGTGGTCGAAATTTCCGGAGCTCTTCACTACGGTGCCTCTCATATCCACCACCATATCAATTTTAGATTTGATTGATATGGTGGTTTTGGAACAATAAAGCCCCACATATCAATCAAATCAATTTTCTATATAATTCCAACTTTGTAGGTTTTCATGCCATTCTGGCATACTTATTGATGCCTCTAACAACATTATTTTCGTACAATGAAAATGAGATGCAGTGAATGCACTAATGCGCTAAACAAAGCACAATAAATGTGGAGACAAGAATGATGTCTTCTTTTTAATTTTCACCCTCATCTCCTAAGGACATTTCCATTTTGAAAAATCAACCTGTGCAGATAAGTGTAGCATTGCCATAACACAACAAAGCACTCGTAGAAGATTGATACAGTGCATGAAACGAAGAAAATTTGGCAAATCCAATGTACCTAGGGAGTTGATGTTATGTGAAGCACGCATATGGAAGGGGGCTGTGTTGTAATTTTTGTATTGAGTGAAACTTCATGAAGTGGCGCTAAAGATAAGTACAAATTCACACACACAGACATACATTAGGCGGCCGCATATATTTTATATGACCAGTTGTTTACAATTGGGTAACGATGCCAACATCAATATACATATTAGCAATACCAGGAGTGGTTACCTGATATGAAATGCTTGTGCTTGCAAGGATGGGAGCCCTGGACACTGCTACATAAATCAACTTCAGCAGATGGCGCCTAGCTACAATCGAGGTTACTTAACCTGACATGATGGCTGTACCTTAGGAAGACTTATGTACTGTTTTTAAATTGGATAGCCAGTACTGCGGCCATCATCGATGTTTCACAAAGGTTAGGGTCTATTTGAAATGTAGTTCTGAGACCTGGTGTGGCTGCGTGGTAGAATTCTCCATGTCTGCTTTCGTCATTCCACGGTAGGTATAAACTGTCAAACACCTGTGGCACGTACCTGCCCTCTTGTATGTGCCACTGTCTGGCGGAAAGAGTTTGTTGACATACGCGACGGGATTGTGAAATTATTCATGTCATGACCAGCGGGTCATCATCGTCTCACCATCTTACCCTGCCTTTTTCATTTTGTGTACCCCAAGTGAAAGTGGTCATCATGAGAGCACCCAGACTAGCAGTTAGACATATGCTCAAGGCGTCTGCAGTACACAAAATAATTCTGCGGATTTAAAGAGTATCTGAGGAGGAAATCGTGCTAGGCCATCACGGCATTACAGGTAGGCCTGATAGCATCACGGAGAAAATGCGGTTAATAGCGTAGCATGGCAGATGATGCTTCCAGTGTGTTGCCATTGTCTACATGCTCTTTTGGCGACATAATGCATAAAAATCACGATGAAATCTGGCATCTCTCATAATCCTATGGTGGTTCTGGTACGTTTAACCCCACATATCATTCAAATAGATGACGATAACTGCTAATATATTGTGTATTTGCCCGGTATCTATCTTTAACGTCAATAAATAAATGTAACAGACGTTTTAGCTGCAGGTAATAATAGATAGTGACCTAAATATATGATCTACAGCGCTTGGTGCGCGCTACTAGTAGGTGGTTTCTGAGCAGATGATGTCTGCCGCATCTACGGGACCCATGCCTTTGTCGCACACAAGCAAGGGTTCTGTGCATGAGGGCCTTGAATTTTCTGGGGCTTGCTGGACCTTGAAGCCCCAGCAAGCCCCAGAACAGCAAGCCCCAGAAATCGAAACACGCCTCGCTTGTTTGTGTTGATGATGATGGCTGGATGGATGGATTGATGGATGGATGGATGGATATGGCTGTACCCTTTAGATCGGACAGTAGCAAGCGCCACCAAGCCGTATTACATAATGAACCAAAAACCAGAATTTTTCCCCTTAAATAGTGAGGTTGTGGTTTCCTACTTTGCAGTAAAGGGTTTATTTTCACTCGTGCCTTGACTTTAGCCACCAATCAGATAACCTTCTTCTAGTTACTTCTACCCTCCTAATGTCTATTTTGGCCTCACTGTCCCTAAACCCCAGTGCTTTGAAAAACTCTGCGCCGTCATCCTGAACTATAGGGTTAAGCCTTGCTTGCTTGCTTGCTTGCTTGTTCCTTTCTTTTGTGGCTCTCACCCACTGAGGGGGATTGGCCAAGAAGCCGGTGGTTAATGCAAGTCAATACCTTTAGGTTTTTCTAGACTAGGGGTATATGATTTTCGTGTTTTGCCTGTGAAATCATTTTGGCGCAATGTAAAAAAAGAAGAAAAAAGGGGGGGAGGAGAGAAATAATATAATTTGTTGAATATCTGAGGTGGAATCGTTATATAAAATTCTCCTGAAAGTTGAATCACTGCAGTGTATCAGCTAAATAATAAGTGGTAGTGTGTTTTTTGAAGTTTATTCAAACAGTCATGGTCTGAGATAAAGGGGCTAAAGGCAGATGCAACTGCCTGACAAAGGCCCCCCTAGCCATACATTGCTCAGGGGTGGAAAGCCACGGTATATGCGCAAATACAGGTAACAAGAAAAGGCAAAAAAACTTTTCTTGATAGTGTTGCTAGTAAAATTCGAGAGCTGATCACTGACTCAGCAAGGTAATCTTCTTGTGTTATAGAAAAATTCGCAGAGAGCCCCGCAGATGTTCCGGTCGCTGTGTCACAATGAAGTAGCCCCAAAAGACAAAATATTTGGAGTATTAAGTGATATTCCTAGTTTTCTGAATAAAATTTCGAAGCAGTTTTTTCTTTGATTTTTGAAACGGTGACATGCGATAAGAAAATGGTCGATATGTTCAGGTTCGTTACAGCTTTAGCACAGAGGGGATGGCACCAGACCATACCTGTTTAAGTAGAAATTGAGAGGTGGTACACGGCAACGGAATTTTGTTATCAAGACTCCTAATTTACGCTTGGGACACCACTTATTATTCCATGTGATGTGCAGGTGCGGGAAATCTGGATTTGGTATCATGATTTGTGATGAGTCTTCAAGAAGGGAAAATTTTCTAAACCTCGCTGCTGTTACATAAGCTGTAGGAGGCATGATTGGCACATTCGCAAGATCAAGAGATGTTCGCGCAAGTGTGTCGGCCATCTCGTTTATAAATATACTACGATGGTCTGACACCCATATCATTCGCACTAGATGAATGTTTGCTTGGATTAATGATTTAAAAATTTCTAGTATTGCTGATGTCGACGATGATGATAAAAATGAACACATGGAATACGAGTCAGACGCTATCACACCTGTCAAATGAGTCGCAGGAAGTTTACGAATAGCTAGTATAACGGCCATTAATTCCGCTTCAAATATTGATGTATATCTGGGAGGCGTAATGAAAATGACCAGAATAATGAGAGAGAAAAAATGCCCACCCCTGCCTTCTCGCCACTCATAGATGCATAAGTTGCAATTACTATATTACTACCTAATTGAGACAGGCGTTGTTCTAATAAACTATTAAAATATTTAGAGGGAAAGTGTTTAGCGTTCATGGGGAAGATATCGTCAAATTTTATTTGCAGTTGGCTGATTGGTTTGACAGATGGTGTGATCTCAAATATATTAACATTTAAAGCACCTAGAAGTGTTTGAACAAATAGCACTTGGGGTTTATATACACGGGACCAATGCTCATTGAAAAAGACACCAGGCTCGGCAAAGAATACAAACTGTTGCCTTCTTAAAGTGAATTCACATAATTTTAAATAGGTTTTTGCTGTTAAAATACGAAATCTGCAAGCAAGGGTGGGTATC